GAAAGTGAACGGGCCCAGCCCTCTGTAGGTCATGTTTGTAACCAGGCATTTCCAGTGTTGTTAATTGTAGCTAAATTTCGCTACAGTGACAGATTTAGAAATCCGATGGCATAGAAACAGTATTTTTCTGAATGTATTTAAAATAAATATAATATTTCATTATCTTATTATTTCTAAATAAAAAAAAATGCTTTCATCGAAAATTGAACTAAAATAAAAATAACTCGAAGCCAGTGTCACATAATTTTCTAACAAAATATGTGTATTAACAAAAAAAATATTGCAGTTACTTTTAAATTATGGTAATGATTGTTATAAATTAATATCTAGAAATTAGTTATAAAAATCAATTTTAACAGTTTAATTATCAAATTGATTTTACTATTAATACAGACATTGCATAAATAAAAATAGAAATGACATATTTGACAGCTTATCCACACTCGTGCGAATTATTGGCATTTTCAAGATTTTTAATCCTATAAATACTATATTTTTTAAAATTATCCAAATGAATATTCGCAGCATCTATAAAAATTTAGATGAATTCAAAATGATATTGCAAAGTTTGGAGTTTGATTTTGGTTGCATTATATTGAGCGAAACTCGAGAAATAATAGATCAAAGTATTTTTCAGATCAGTGGTTACAACATGATATATAATGAGAGTTATCATAATCAAAATAATGGAGTTGTGGCTTATATTAAATCGTCCTTGCAGTTTTCATATGATTCGGTTGAAATTTTTAACGATATAAAAGCACTTAAAATACGTATTGAAATAGATACAAATACAGTTTTAGTTACAGCATTTTACAGATCACCAAATTCAAGTATTCTTGACTTCAAGAAAGGTCTATCCAGATTTCTTGAAGAAAATAATGATAACTCAAATGATTTTTACTTTCCTATCTGTATACAGATGATATAAGGAAAGTATAGGAATCATGATTTTTTCGACCTCGAGTTTTCGACGCATTTTTACGTTTTGAGGTCCCCTGAATCCGTTTTGACTATTTTCACGATGATGTCTGTGTGTGTGTGTGTCTGTGTGTCGCATAACTCATGAACCGATACACAGAAAAACACCAAATTTGAAACTTAAACTTTTTTCCAGCGTCCAATGTGCTGATTAGATTTTGGGCAGTGTCGGAACATCTGGGGGGGTACTTTATGGGTAGTCATTTTAAACAAAAGTTGTTTGTAATATAATTCTCTATAATTTTTATCCCATACATAATTTCTCTAAAATGGACCGTATTCGAGATATTTGAGAAAATGTGTAAATTTCGAAATTTAAAGAAAACTCAAAAACGGATAAAGAAAAAAACATTAAATTTTAAACTTAAGTTTTATTTCGGCCTGACGTGAAATGATTAGATTTTGGACAAAGTCGGAACATCTGGGGGGGTACTGTATGGGAGGCCGTTTTTTTATTTTATGGAATATATCTGTTATTTATGTTTGGAGAAAAAAATAGTTCAAATAAAAGTTATTTCTAATATTATTATAATTTTTGCTTTTTGTCAAAATTTCCTGAAATGGTCCGTATTCGAGAAATTTGACAAAATGTGCAAATTTCTGATTTTTATGAAAATTGCGATATGGATCTCTATAATTTTTGTTTATACATGATTTTTCTAAAATGGACTGTAATAGAAAAATTGTAGGAAAAGTGCTAAATTTAAATTTTTCAGTATTTTCATTTTCAATGAATATCTATAGAAAAATGTTTCGAGGTAGATGTATGTGGAAAATGTATATATTTAGTTTATCCTCTAAACATTTATAGAGGTGCTGCAATAGGTTGTACAAAATAACCGGAAAAAGCCTGTAATAACTAGATAGGAAAGTCATGTGTTGGACACATCAGATTTTTATATATTTACAGGTGATATAAACATTGATTTGCTAAAATTTGAGGACAATATGACAGTGGAATATTTAAATATTTTAAATGAACTATTAATAAAGTCACTAGGGTCCAAGGTAACACCAAATTAGTTTAGATCAAATATAATAACTTAAAAGATAATATATAATTCCATTAATACTTAAAACAAACGTTACAGGCCACTGCTTCACTATTTTGGAGGTCATATTAGGGAATGATAAAAAAGTAAACAGTAGGAATATTAACAAATATATTAAATATATTATTCCATATAAAATCAACAATATATTTCGAGTTATTTCATGGTCCCCTGTTTCATTAGAAAATCCAGACATTGCAGAAAACACATTTGTTAACATTATTCAAAGTGGTCTTATAAAATGCCCAAAAAATCATAAATTAATAAGAAAACGATATAAAATTGCACCCTGGATGACAAATGGACTGCTGATTTTAATTAATGAAAAAAATAAAATGTTTCTTAATTTTCAAAAATATTTCGAATTAAAAAGAAATTATAATAACTAAAGAAATAAAATTAATACTCTAATTACAGAAACAAAATTGAAAGTGGGAAAAACAATTCTAAAAATTTGTGGGAAGTGATACAGGGTATAAGTAAAACAAAAAACAAACGAAAGAAATTGTCAAAATAAAAACCAGTATTGGCGAATTATTAATAAATAAATGATAAAATTTTTGTTGACATGGGGCAGAACCTTGTCAAAAACATAAAAGTGGATCCGACATATAATTACAAACGAAAATAATTTGTTTTGAGCTCTGTTGATAGAAAATTTTTAACGTTATTGGCGAATTAAAAAACAAAAAGGCTATTGGTGACGACAATATAAAAGCTGAAACTATAAAAGCCATCTCATATTACATAGTAGAACCACTGTTTCTTGATAAACAAATGTATTGACCAAGCAATTTATCCATCGATTTTTAATAGTTCAATAATTATACCAATTCATAAAACAGGCGATGTTTCAGAAATTTCTAGTTATCGACCTATAAGTCTAGTAACATATTTCTCAAAAACCTTTAAAAAAATAGCAAAAAATCGTCTTCAATCTTATTGCAAAAAGTATAAAATAATTTCAGACTGTCAATATGGATTCCTGAAAAGAAAAGTACCGAGGATGACACTTTAAGACTTACAACAAAAAACACAGAATCCCTAAATAAGAGTAAAGCATGCCTAAGTATATTCATTGACTCATCAAAAGCGTTCGATACCGTCAGTCACCGACTACTTTTACAGTAACTGAAAGATATCGGAATACGGGGAAAATGCAACAAACTCTTTGAAAAGTTATCTAACTGACAGACTCCAGACTGTGAGAGTGGGTAATGTTTGCAGTGGCGCGGAAACCATAAAGTACGGTGTACCTCAAGGGTCCATACTTGGTCCTATGCAATTTAATAAATATATATTAATGAGTAATTATCTTTAGATACATGCAGTACTATAATTGAATTTTTTATAATACAAATAACTGGATGGAGGTAAAAGTTAAAGCGGAACAAAACTTTTCAAATATTCAAAGATATCTTGATAGCAAAATATTAACAGTAAACTTTGAAAAAACAAACTACTTGCCATTCAGTTGTAATTCAGCCGGCGCTCCACCATTTAACTAACTAAAAATCAAGGTTAACAAGGAAATCTTTCACATATCACCAGAATCAAAAATAAAATACTTTGGCGTAATAAAAGATCAACATTTAAAATGGAATTTACACATAACATACTCAGCCAATAAAATTAGAAGTATCCTATATAAATTTTTAGAAAATGAACAAAATTATTACCTACCGCTAAAGTATCTGAAAACAGTATATTTTTCATTAGTTGAAAGCCATCTTAGGTATGCCATCGTTATCTGGGGTGTAGCGCTGAATACCCATGTACATTTATAAAAAACGCTTTTTAAAGGTAATCTACGCTAAGAATGTAAGATATTCCTCCGATGCCCTATATAAAGACACAGATTCTTGATTTAAGACAACTCTATTTTTTCTGTAGCGCAACAAAATATGTAAACATTGTAAACAAACAGTATTCCCATCTTCCAAGCCACGACTATGATACACGTCAGAAACATTATTTCGTGTCCCCGCTGATGCTCAAAACAGTTACACAGAGGTCATATTTATATTTGGCACCCAAATTTTACAGTATGATACCAGGGGGGCTATTTTCAAACTCGAGAGAATTTATTTCTCTCAAGAGAAATGTCATATGTCATCGTAGAACCGTATTTTTAGGGCTGTTAGGGCCAGTGTGAACTCACTGACTGTTTCTCTCGGTTTATTTAGAGAGAATTAAAATCTTCTAGAATTTTAATCCTCGATGCCTTTAAAAACAACATTTCCACATTGACGTATGACATTTCTGATGAGAATCTTGAGAGAAATGAGTGCTCCCATACTTTGAAAATAGCCCCCCAGAACACATTAAAGACATAAAAAATACAATCCATTTAAAAGACAAATTGAAAAAGTTTATTCTTGAAAACGCTCTAAACCCGACTCAAAATTACTTCGTAAATTAGGAGTTTAAAATTATCACTTCGTTATTTCAAATAAAAAATTAAATAAAAAAAAAATAAAAAATCTAATTTTAATTAATTTTATAAATAAGTTTATTTAAAATTCAAATGTTCTTTCTGTAATTTTAATTTAATTCTAGTTATTAGTTAAACATATCTTTTCTAGTTATTGTTTTATTTCGAAACAAGCGTTCACTCGCTTATCAAGTATTTTATTTATTTATACAATTTTATATATATTTTTTTAATCTGTATGGTATTTGAACTTTTTTTATAATATTAATTAAATATTACAAACAAGCTGCATTTATATCCTACTTATTATTGTATTTTTTTTTGTATGAATAATTATTATTATTATTATTATTTATTTTAAAACTTTCTTGCTCTCTTTATATTATTATCAATGTTATCCAAATTTCAACCAAGTTTTTTTTACAATTTGTGATTTTATCGCATAATTTTTATTAATTATAAGTTGGTATATGTCCCAGATTTAACCCACCTTGCGTTTTTTTTTTCATCAATATTAACAAAAAAACACTTACGATACAATATTTGTGGTCAGTTTTCGGGCAATCGATCAACTTCATGTGTGTCTCGTTCAAGCACGGAGTTATAGACCCAACTCCATCGTTGTACATCCCGCATTGCCAGCACTGCAACGCCACTACACTAGTCGCGCCTATCGCCACCAAAACTCCGATCAAAATCGTTGAATTGAAACCCATTTTCGAAACAAAAATTTTTTTAAAGAAAAAAGTTTTTTCGTAATGAAATTTTTGAGTTGCGTCCGTTCGGGCTGAGGCCGGCTCTGTGTGCGGGAGTTGTTTTCAGAGCGCGCGATTGAGATGAACTGAAGTTTCGGACGCCTCGGATGGTTGATGTCGCGAGTTTTGGAGTTTTCGGTGTTGCGTTATCGAGGTATGGCGATATCGGGTCAAAAGTCAAAGAATATTTATTTATTTGTCAAAACAAAGAGTGGTATACAGGGTAGAAAGTCCCTTCCTTAAAGTTTCTGTAACTATTCGTGATCCAACAGTTTTTAGTCACTGTGTTCACTGATTACTACAAGATATTTCTTGTTTAGGTATTCCATCTAGCAAAATGAATGTCTTATAAAAGTGAACAGTTAAAGAACAATTTTATTTCGTATTAGAGAGATATTGGAAATTTCTATAACGCCAACCACCATTAATCAGACTTATTGACATTGTAATCCTTGTCCTTATATTTATTTATAACCTCATTTTAAAAACTATAAATTATAGTTCAACTATCTTGTTGTCCATAATAGTACATAATCTAGAAAAGGCCTTACAAATAGCCATTTTAGGTGATTTAAATGAAGATAATAATAAATTTATATTAGAAAATTTAGAACTGTAATCCTTTCTGAGTTTGATCTTCTAATTGTTTTTGTCTATACATTTTTAAAGATGTGAATGTCATTTTATCTGTAGGTGTGAAATTTACACATCCATTACACAAAGGATTTCCGCACTTTCCTTATGTAAGTGACAACCGGTTAAATTTTCTAAAACTTTGGTATGTTATTGTACCTAGTAACCAAAAGTGTTAATAGGCTCAACTCAATCCTATGACTGGTTTTCGATATTCGTTAAAGTTAAAAATTGCTTAGATTTTCGATATTTTTATTTTCAAAATTACTAGCTAAATTGAATTTCTGGTGCATACACACGTTAACTATATATTTTTTTATTACATTAGTACCTATGTACAGTTAAACATATTTTCAGTTACAGGGTGATTCAGAATGTATGAATAATTTTACTATATCATCAGGTAAGCAAATTTTTAAAAAATAAAAGATTATAAAATACGCATTTCTTATACAGGGTGTTTTATAGAGAGAACCACAACATAAAATTATTTTTTTCAAGGGTTAATTCATAACTCTGTAGGTACATATTAATTGATTTTTGGGAACAAGTGCATAGTCAACCATCTGTTCCTCTACCTTGTGTAACAGCACAAATTCAAACGAGCAGCGTGTTATTATCAAACACTCCAAGAAAGCAGAGACTACGACTGAAGATTGCAACGTTAAGGAAACGTTTGTTTGGTGCAAAAAAGAAGAAAAATAATATAAATAAACTGTTGATTAAAACTTTATAATTTTTATTTTTGAAACCTCTGTCGGAAGTGCTACAACAAATCGAAAAAGATTTTATTTAAATCGAGAATAGTTTAAAATACATTCATGCAAATTTTCATAAAATATGACACATAATTCTGTAAAAGAAAAATATAGTTTTCGCAGTGTAGGTTTAGTAAATAGATACGTTCGCGTGTACTGTGAATAGTTACGTTTTCTCAGAGTATTTTTGTGGTGGAACTGAAGGTCAAATATTTATATCCCTTCTACTTCAAAGTTCCGACCATTACTTTCTTTTCTGTATTGTTCTTTCTTCTGTGATGTGGATAACTTCACACCCGTGTTTATTTTGAGCTGCATTTTTAAAATAAATTTGGTTGCTGTATTAATTTTTTCATATAATATACGATTATTACCGTACTTATATTTTTGAAACAAACGAAAAATGTATTTTTTTTTTTTTTGATTACTTCTTTTTTTATAATCTCGTAATTTAGAAATTTTAAATAATCCGTAAACCTATCATTTTATTAACACCTTGGCAACGTTTGGTATTTTTAAGACAGAAACTGTCAGAGTAATTAGGCATTCCAAACAAATGAATTAGGCATTTCAACGACCTGTCAAACAATAGGTGCCAGTGGGAAATTCTTGTATATTTAAGGGGGTAGCGACATAGTCTTGCAACTTGGACGCTATTTTTATTCAAAGTAGTACTCGCCAAGCCTACCAATTTATGAAGAAATGTATAGGTGGGTTTTTTAAATATTATTTTTATTGTGTTTGACATAAAATATTTAAATGTAATCCATTATTCATGATTTTACGTAAAGTAGATAGAATACACCATATGTTGCCACCCTCAGATATACTAAACCTGCCCACTGGTAATTCATTTGTTTGGAATGCCTAATTGCCAGTGGGAAGGTTTGGTATATGTAATGGTGGCGACATACGGTGTATTCTATCTACTTTACGTAAAATCATAAATAATGGATAGCATTTAAATATTTTATGTCAAACACAATAAAAATAATATTTAAAAAACCCACCTATACATTTCTTCATAAATTGGCAGGCTTGGCGACTACTACTTCGAATAAAAATTGCGTCCAAGTTGCAAGATTATGTCGCTACCCCCTTAGATATACAAGAATTTCCCACTGGCACCTATTGTTTGACAGGTCGTTGCCTAATGGTTTTATGATTATAACCTGTCAAATTGGGATTTTTAATTAATTTTTTTCGAAAAATACTTCATCTATAATATTTTTTCGATAATTTATTATAGAAACTAGTTACATTTGAGTGTTTAAATTTTTTTATAAGTAATTTTCGCACGTCAGGATCCTTCGCCGGACCCCGGTCGTCTGTGATTACAAGTTAAGCGAGAAACGTCTGTATAAGATTTATAAAGTTAATTTTTGTTTTCAAAGTGCTGTATTAACAATTAATAATCTAGAATCGTATATGTAGAGTAATATTTGCCAGTTTGTGCATGTAAGAAAAATTTGTGTAATTAAAAGTAGGTACTTACCTAGGAAACTGGAAATGGTTTGAAAAACAATCAAATTCTGCAGTAAAACAAGTTCACAAAACCGGCTTATGTACATATAGTGAGTATAATCGGTATATATGACAATAAAATACACTTAACACTTGCACAAATGTTCATTTTATAACAAAAAACTTAACAATTTATCCGAAAATATAAATACTAAACCGTTTTAGTAAAACAATTGAACTACAATGAAGTATGATCAGTGTTGCCAAAATATATTTTTGTTACGTACCAGATTTGTCAAAAAAAAAAATGTACTAGATTGCATAAAAGTATATTAGATTCTGTAAAATGTACCAGATTTTCGAATGAGTTGTGTTGTGATGTGGTTTGGTTCATTAAGGAATAAGGGGTTTTTAGCGAACGAAAACAGGGTCCGGACGACTTTAGGGACAGTGGAATTTTAAAGAAATTTATTCTTTATCAGGAAGAGCGTATTTTAAATAGTACATTTAAAAAAAAATGCTGTAAATGCATTATTTAACAAAAAAAAAAAAAAATTATTTAATTTCTATAAAAATCAGCATTTTGGCGAGTGTAAACATCGAAACTCGATGGTTTCTGTCAAATTTGAAAAATATAATTGCAACGTTGCCGGATTGTGATAAAATTAGTAGTTAACAGAAAATGGAAAATTGCGATTGCGCATACCGGTCCATAAATACGCAACAAGAAAACGAAGCAACGACTTCTAGTAGGGTGGCGGCTTCGCCGCCACCAAAAAACATCAACCCGTACCTGGCTACGCCGACCGGCATAGACTCCAACGGCCTGGACACAGCTCAAATTGAATAATTGAAATGAAAAGTCTCAAATAAACACATTTATATTCTGGTTTTATCATCTGGCCTGGAGCTATTGGAAAAACAGCCACTGTCATTCCTGTTATGTACGTTCTTATACTATGTTTGACAACACCACATTTATAGAAATAGAAATGTCAGTTGTCATATTATTCATGAACAAAAATTATTTGAGAGTTACATTCCACTTTTCTATTCGTTCCGTTTCCTATACCAGCCGCAAGCTACTGCAGGGTGCTGTGTAACAATATAAAGCAATTGGCAACGTCGCAAAAATCACGCATAGGCGCTCTTAGTAGGTCTGGGGGGCTATTTTCAAACTCGAGAGAATTCATTTCTCTCAAGAGAAATGTCATACGTCAACGTAAAACAGTATTTTTAGGGCTCTTAGGGCTAGTGTGAACTCACTGACTGTTTCTCTCGGTTTATTTAGAGATAATTAAAATTCTCCTAAGAATTTTAATCCCCGAGGCCTTTAAAAACAGCGTTTCCACATTGACATATGACATTTCTGATGAAAATCTTGAGAGAAATGAGTGCTCCCATACTTTGCAAATAGCCCTCCGGTTCAAGTTCTTCAAAAATACATTGGGAACTATCAGAGGACTAGTTGTAAGCGACGAATAATTTGGAATTGAACTGTTCCACTGGTTCTCGGATAGTTTGCATCGAGTTTTAAAGAAACTCGAACAAACCTAGTGTGAATTAAAAACAATATGGCTACGTAAGAATGTCGTGAATAAATGCATATTCTTAATTTTTTAGCTTACAAATGTGTTTTAATAGTATTTGTTGATTTAATTTGGTTAGTGCACGCTTATGGAAGATTAAAAAGTGTAAAAATATTATGGTTTTACTCAATCTTTATGGAAAAAGTGACAAAATTACTGTCTCTAATAACGTCCTTAACCCGAAAACAAAACAAGGACAAGATCCCAACAATATATTTTACACGCATCAAAATGGTAACTCGTTGAAAAGAAAAAGGTACTAGATTTTGCTTAGAGTATACTAGATTCTTAGAAAATGTACTAGATCTAGTACAATTGTACTAAACTGGCAAAACTGGGTATGATACATATATTTTTTTATTTAAATGTGTTATTCATCGAATTCAAAATATACGGAATGGCTACTACTCATATTAGTACTTTTTTAACAAAAATTAACGTGCATTCAAAAATTAAATTAAAATTATATAATTAACTACCTATTGCCCGCGGCTTTGCTTGCGATTTTGCTCGCATATAGTCGTGTTATTAAGGACCGATTCCACCGTTGTGTTAAACGAAGTTTAAAATGACATTTTTAAATTAACAATGTCATTTTAATCTCCGTTTAACACAACGATGAAATCGGCCCTAATATAAAAAAATTCATGACTTTCTTTTTTTATTAATTTTTATTAGTTTTATTGATTTTCATTAATTTTTTTTATTTTTTTATATTCATTCATATTTATTCATTTT